AGCTGTCACCCGCGATTCCGTCCACTCGGAATTAAAAATAATACTTAATTAGTAGCCTATGAAGCAATTCCGCGTTTCGTCTGATGAGTGTGCGTCCCGGAGGCCTAATTTAGTCGCCTTTCCCTTCCCATCCTTTTCTTTATAAGAAAAGGATGGGAAGTGGAAGTGGACTTTACGGATGAAAGGAAAGGGAAGATATTTTCTTTCTGTGCATCCTCTCCTCCGTCGATTAAAGGTAGGCAGCGCATATGCAATTGCGTATGTCTATGGGCAGCAGTCACTTCGCTATTTCAGCGATTTCAGGTGGCTGCTCGCTCGTTTGCCACCTTTTGGAATAAAAAAAAATGTGTTCTTCCAGACTATGTTCTTCATCTATGCCAAATTTGTTGGTTTTAGAGATACCTTCAAACAAACATCCATCGAAACATTCGCATTTATAATATAACGATTGCATACATAATTTCTTCTATGAACTGCATGTGTGCTATTGGATTAGGTTCGGTTCGGATACTATGCTTGCAATTTAACGGCCGGTGCAATTAATGCGTTTTTTTCTAGGCTTAATAAAGGATGTAATGCACCGTTAAGGCTATCTACCAAGTTTTTTACTTGTCTGAGAAATCAATTTAAAGAAATTTTAAATAAATGATAGGAAGTTGCAGCGTTCTTATTTCTTTTTACAAAACCTTGCAGCCTTCTTAATTTTTAGTACTTATGTTTTCATATTTTAGTTTATTTTTTTCCCGTTAATGTCACCCATCTCACAAAATTGACCAATCAAGGTGACATACAACATGTATTTACTAAGTGTGTACGCGTAAATAAACTTAATTTTTTTACAAATTTGCATATAGAAATCAGATAAAAAGGCAACGAAAAAAAAACCAGAGCATGCATTTGTTTTAATATTATATTAGGTAGCGCCATCTAGTTACAGGTTTAAATATTATTTTGTCTAAACAAAACTTTTCTTCAAGTTTACTATGTAAGCTTAAAGTTAACGACAATTACCATGAGATGTCAGGTAACAAGCTTTAAAAAGCTAATGGATTTTCAAAAAAAAACAAAAGCAGAAAACGTAAGATAAGTTAATCTAAATAAAGAATACTCAATAAAATGTATGTAAGTTTAAAAACTACGAAAAAAAACGATAAGAACGAACAAAAATCCCGACAATTAAGATTAAATTGTAATTTCATATTCAGGGTAACATTAGTCTCTTCCGGATGCCCTGCATTGCAAAAGTTTATATGTTATTTTTAAGTATAATAGCACATCTGACTGGATTAGATTGATAAGTGAAAACGCATTTCCCTTTACAGTTATGAAGGGCATACGCTACTGATAATTAATACTCATTATTGGTAATTATCCTCGCATGTATTGCGTTATGAATTTGCTACAATGTTACGAGTTAATTGTAACCGATTATTCGCAAGATTCGGTAAATTATGCACACATTAGGTTCTCAAATGGCAAATACAGGTAAGTTTAAAGAAAATTCTTGTAGTTCTAAACAAGAAACAGACTTTATTAGAGAATATGTTTGTTTATGCTTTTAAAAGACAAAAGACGATAAATAGGGAAGCTATATATAACAAAGTTTATTGAAAAAACAACATTTTACAGTTAAAATAAGTTTTTTGTAAATAAAATACAAACATCGAAAAATTCTACATGAGCACCAAATTATTTAAAGTAAAAATTAAAGAATCAATCACTAAAACGTTTAACTTTCGCTAGGGGACAGTATTTGTAATCAAAGGGATATACTAGGAGATAATGATTGGCATTTATTTACAGTGTTACGATAACAAGAGTTAGTGATGTCCTGAGCTGTAGTGAGCACGCTTATATTCTGTCTCAGCTAAATTTTTGAGACGTAAGTGCTCCAAGAAGGCGTCATAGTTCTCGAATTCTTTCGGCTCCTTAGTACGAATGCCTTTGGGCAGAATCACGTATTGACCTCCCGGGCCTCGCGTGTAATCTCGGCCTCCGGTCTTCATGTATCTGTAGTCCAGAATGATCGTGGGCTCATAGTAGTCAGGATCATAGGTCTTTCGGATGATACTATGAAAAATAAATAGATTTATTTTATTAATGTGCCGATGCGATATAATACCTTAGATACGGTTTGCTTATCTGATAACCACCTCTCCTCAAAGGAATAAGATTCGTAAATTAAAAGTACTTACACATTTTGCTTTTGTACTTCCGGTCCATGATCCTGTAACAACAAAAAATAATCTAGAAATGACAGTTTCAAGGTTGATTCTGTGTAGATTCTTGTACATTCATAAAATTATGGTCAGATTAATATTTAGATTTTTTTTAATTTTACACTTCAAAAAGGACACACAAAAATTAACCTTAATTTACCGTACTTTTATTTAGTTTATCGTGGATCGAGATTAATAACATTACTAACCATATTACTACTACTAATCTTAGAAGTTTGAAATGTATGATCTTACATCGGGCTCTGCGATCTTTCTAGAGCGAGTGGAGCGCAGTACATGGGGTCCCGGCAGTTCGTCATGACGGTAGTCATCTAGGTGGTCGTCATAAGGCAGCTCATAAGGACTAGGAGGATTGGCGGCCTCAGCTGGTTGTTGATCCTTGTCAGCAAGCCCCACTGCCACCAGTAATGCCACGAGTAGCAACTATCGAAATAATATTTATATTATATTTATAAAGGTTTTTAACTGCAATTTTTTCTTCCCACAGGAATTTCAGATTAAGTTCTAATCATAATTAAAAAGAGTTAAGATGAGTAAGAAATTTTATTAGTACACTTACAAAAAAAAATAGTTATTCTACTGATGTTGCATTTTGCTCAAAGATTTATTTAAGGAATATTTTTTTGGCCATAAAGGATTATAATAAGTAAACTTTATTGGTAATATTGATAACTATTTTATTAATGTTAATTAAAAGTAATTTAATATCACAATAAATAAAATATAACAAATCGAAACCTCTATCTTTTTATTTAAATTGGTTAAAAATAATTTATCCCACATAAAACTGTTATTATTATACTTTGTTATGGATTGGTACTTACTTGACGCATTTTGACAACAACGTGATGTTGAACACAAAACACAACTAACCTTTTTCATATACTTACCGTGGGTGGAACTTCGTTTTTAAACATTAATAAATCTAATTATTTCACCGGATTTGATGTAATTTTAACGCAGATATTAGACCGTAATCAAATGTTAAATAAATAGCCCTTGAAGTAATCTTTGCGAATATTCGTAAAGATGATTTTTGCTTAAAATATCTTGCCCAATATCCTTCATTGGAATAAACAGTTTTAACCTCAAGTTTCTGAGGGAAATCATAACGTTTAATTTAATTTGATTATGATTATGAATAAAATACTTATGTATCGTCATTAAAGATGTTAAATTTATATCAATTTTTATATCTTTACTGACTGATTTTTCTAAAAAAAAGTAAAAAAAATGGTTGTGTATCTTACTAATGTTAATGCGAAAGGATAAATAAATGCGTGATTGCCAGAACGGATCTGGATTAAATTTGGAAAAAAGATAGTTATATTTTTTTAATTCGATGCGGATGAAATCGAGTGCCCAAGCTAGTATAAGCATAATATTTAACAGTACATGGCCTTAAATCTTCTGTTAAAGTTACATAAGAATAATGACTAAACGTTCCTCAGTCAAAACTGCATACGATAAGCGAAACTTTTTAATAAAGATACAGATATTGTAGGATCCTCACTTCCTTATATCCGGAAGAGTTAAAAAGTGTAGAATCGTTGCCAGTGTTTTTTTAGGTCGCAGAACGTCACTCATTAAACGTCAATCATAAAAGTAAATAAAACCTTCATGCGAGTTTTCTGTCAGGAGGTCTTTGTTGTATGTTGGCCCATTTGTATTAGGATCAACAATTTGGAGACCCTACAAGAGTAGAGTAAAAAGGCATTTACTAAACTATCACATGTCCATGGGCGTCGATGATCACCTTGGTGTCTTATCGTTTGTCCCCTTCTCCTATTTTAAAAAATCTTACTAACAAATCACAACTTAACATCAGTTGGATCGTAGTCCAGCGCTAGTATTATAATTATAAATACAGCATAGAAAAATGGTACCATTGCTTCTGTCTCTACCTTTGATATTTTTCTCTTTATATAAATCAGGCTGCTGGTTTGAGTAGGTTTAAATAGTATGCAAACATCAGTAAGTTCTCTTTCATTCATAAGACTTCGAGGTACAAGGAATAAGGTACTAGGCACTATAAAATATCAGTTTTCAAAAGCAAAACTTTACTAGAGAAAAATAAATTTAAAGAAAATACTCAAGAAACCTTACAGTAATTGCAGAGTCTGTTGCAAAATACGACTAATATTGTTTTAATATTAGTATTTTGGAGCCCCATGTATATTCTATAAGGTATTCTTCAAGGTATTCAGGGAATATTTTTTTTACGACTTTCGCAGAAAAATAGCTTAACACTAACTTTGTAACCATGTAGAGCCGATGTCCGCAAATGTGGATAGGAGAATGTAGGTTGAATTGCTATATTTTTGAACTTGGAATTTATGGTCTTCCGTTGTTTACGTCATTTCCGGACATCCTGTTTAGATGTGAGATATTTCTATTTGTCATCCTTTTCAATTGTTCAGATTTCAGTCAGCTTATTTATTTTTAAAAGTCTTTTGATAAAAATAGTGATTAGCTCATATAATAGAAGTTAATATATTCTTAGGTTGAATACAATTTCACTCTTAAATGACTAAGTACTTAAAAGGTTTGTAAATAAGAATATCTGAGATGATGCTTCTTAAAAATATATTTTTGTCCTTTGTATATTTATGGTTACAATTATTTTTTATATTATCAGATAGTAATACAATATCACGATGAATAAAAATTATGTGAATCACATTTCCACTCTGTTCATGACTTCGCTTCGTTGGATGTAAACAATATATTAGAGTTAACTTAAACAGGTTTAATGACTTATCAATGTGTATGACCATAATATCCGTGATCATGGGAACCATGATGGTGATGTTCATCATGATGATGAGGTTTGTGATGATGTACTTGTATATGATGTTTGTGATGAACACGATGTCCGTTATCATGATGATGACCGTGGTGTTTGTAATGGTCATGACTCTTGTCGTAATATTCAATAACACGATGTTTGTGCACGGGTTCATGATGATATTCGTGAACAAAGTATTCATGATCGTGGTGGTCAGGTTTGTAGTGTTCCGCTTCGTGATGTTCAATTTCATGGTGTTCATGTTCATGGTGTTCATGTTCATGGTGTTCATGTTCATGGTGTTCATGTTCATGGTGTTCATGTTCATGGTGTTCATGTTCATGGTGTTCATGTTCATGATGTTCATCTTCATGATGATCATGACCGTGGTGATGCGGGTCGTGGTGTACGTAGTATTTAATCTCATAGTGTGCTGGTTCATGATGGTCATGATCATCATGTTCCGGCTCATGGTGCTCATGTTCATGATGTTCCGGTTCATGGTGTTCTTCTTCATGATGTTTCGGTTCATGGTGTTCTTCTTCATGGTGTTCATGATGTTCATGATGATCATGTTCATGGTCATGATGATGCGGCTCGTGGTGTACATAGTGTTTCACTTCATAGTGTACAACATTATGGTCGCCATGATCATGATGTTCTGGCTCGTGGTGTTCATGTTCATAATGTTCAGGCTCATGGTGTTCTTCTTCATGATGATCCGGCTCATGGTGTTCTTCTTCGTGGTGTTCTTCATGGTGCTCCTCATGCTTATCTTCATGGTGGTAGGGGTCATGATGAATAGAGACATATTGCTTCGACACAGGAAGGTGATGTTCTTTATGTTCATCGTGGTGATCATGATGATTTGGGTCCGAATACTCAACGTGGGCTTTAAATCTGTAATTGTAGAAAAAAGTATAGGTCAAATTACATCATGCATTTTCAATACGAGAATATTTAAAGAAAGTCGTTTTGATTTGCATCGGCATTGTGGTTCCAAACCATTCGCCGTTTGCTCTGATATCTATTAAGATAAATATAATATGTTAGTTACCCGCTGTGTTTATCTGCGTGATACTTGACAGTGCGTTTAAGGCCATCGGGCTGGATGAGCCAGTACATGCCCTTCACTTCGTCGCCGTGCCTGGTTTCCTCTTGGCCTTTATGATCATGTGTGTGGGGATCATCAACTTGATACGAGTACTCGTATGACGGATACGACTTGGCCTGTAAGTGTCAAAATACGTAAGTAGATAAGCGAAAGAGACCATTTTCGTCATCTCCATGCGCTTCTTTTACTATGAACTCCTTTCAAAACATCTCCACTCAATAGATTTTTTGCAAATGTTATTGATCTTTTGCCTTCTTCTTTTATAGAAAGAAAATATTCCCTTGCAATGTTTCATACTCAAATAGCAGCTGGATATGACCACACCTTTCTATGATCCGTTACCTCAGTATTGACTTCTTACTCTCTATTGTCATCTTTTATGCATATTAATTTTCTTGATTCTCTCCGAAATTCCGATCGAAACCTAATCCTGTTGATTGATTCGGTGCTATTAATGATGTTAGATACTTACGTATTCTTCATGATGCTCCGGGACGTGAGATCCGACATGTGAGAGCTTGCCGTGGTGGCCATGATGTACCGGATGGTGGATATACACTTTGTATTCAGAGACCGCGGGATGGTCGTGACCCGACACCGCTAATGCCACACCGAACAATGTGAAAATCTGAAAAAAATAATTCTAGTAATGCCTTTCATTTCATCATTGTTGTTTCTCTTTTTGTACTTTCGCAATATCTACCCAATACGATGGTAAAGAAGCATTTTTTTACAAATACAGCGGTGTTTATATTCTAAATTGAAAAAAAATACCTTCAAAATCATCTTCAGTTGGTATCGTCTGTTCTTCTAAGTTCAACTGGTGTCAAATGAAGCATCCTATAGTTTATATACTTCAGGTAATATGATTATTGGCTTAAATACAGCATCCTATCCATGCAAGTGCCATTATCTTCAGTTTCTCAAATTATACGTTCAGGGACGTGTTTACGTACGATTCAGTTAACATAACTTTATTCGACCTCTTAATACTAAGATTTTCTAATAGATATGATTACGTGTCTGTGATTATCTTCTCGGCCTAGCAAACAGAGTAACTGATGCTATACAAGTTTACTGTTCAAGCTGAAACAATGTATTTGTGAATCTTATATCTTATTTCATAGAATTAAAAACAGATTTTATTTAGTGTTTGTTACCTTTGAAGTTATGGTGTTAAAACGTATTGTTATATTTTATAGTTTTCCTTTTTGTGCCTTCAAAATTTAAGAATACTAAATCAAGGAAAAACTACCACCGTACTAAACTAAATTAATACTAATGTCGCATCTCAATACGGATATCTGTTTTTACACTAGAAGGAAAAAACGAATTAATATTTCGCATTATCTTAACACCATCCTTCCATTTTACGTCTGTTTCATTTTGTATTTACATAATATCTTTGATTATCAGCGTTCATTACAAGAGAGTATAATTAATTTTTCTTTACCAGATATTTTACATTGTTAAAATATTGTATAGAAAATTATGTTTTATATAGTATATCCCAATACGCACTTAAATTCTGTGCTCACAACGAACTCTTTAATGTAATTACTTACATAATGTTTGTGCAAAATTTTAAAAGCCTAGAGGAATTGTAATCTGAAACTAAATGGTAATTTGAAAATATTTTGCTAGAATATATATTCTTTATTTATTTATCTAACTGGTAAAGTAGAGATGTCAGTGTTCGCAAATAGCACGATAAATAAATCGTGCTATTTGCTAAAAAGAACAAGAAGGCGTTTTAGAATATTTTTAAAATATCTTTATTTAATTTTTGAAGTAATCTATGAGATTTCTTTTCTAGACACAAATGATTCACTTACTGGTTGGGTTTAAATTTATATGCAGGAAATTCCAAAGTAGAGTCTAAAGAAGAAATGATAAATGTATCACATAGTTAACACAGTTTTCGGCGTCAAAATATGTAATTAGTATAATAAAAGTTTTGCCCCTTTTCTTAATAAATAGCAAAGAATTATAATCGTTAATTCATAATTCGAAATTGTGAAGTTTTACTTTCTATCCTCCTACTACTCTACTGTGTGTTACTGCGCATGCAGTTTATTACTTTATATAAAGTAATAGTACATATTGATATTTCTGTTTTGGCAAAGAGAATGAGTGGGATGACAATATTTATATTTAGAAATATCAATACAGTAATTCCGCGATTTAGTTCTTGCGAAATTAAAAAAAATATCAAGTAATAAACGTACAAAGTACAGCCCATGTAACCCGGGGATAGTATTGCATGCCAACAGAGAAAGAATTTTTCAATTCGTTTCCGTAGTTATGGTGCCTATTCAATGCAAACAAACAAATATAAAAATCTTCACTGTTCATAATACAAGTATAGACAAAAGGAATTTGAATTAAAAAACAAAAACTGTTATTTACTAATAATTTAATTACACATTTACATATTAGAATACATAAAAACAACATTACTAAACATTAAAATAAATATACTCACTCAAATAACTCACTACAAAACAAACAATAAACAATTAATTTTTTATTTTCTGTGACTTTCATAATCATTGTAGTGATAATAGTATGGTTTGATCACATGATAATAATGATGTTTATCATAATCATTTTCGTGATGATGATGAGGAGGATGATGTTCGACCACGTTGTATACCACAGATGATGGATGATGGCCTTCGAAATGTTCAGGCGTGTGATGATATGGGTCTGAATATTCCACTTCAGCTTGAAATCTAAACAAATCGGCATGTAGTCATAGTAAATCCATCTATTACTTTTTGGATCTTATTATACTTATGTTACTTTATTTCTTATTAATATTATAAATGCAAAAAATTCATTGGATTAATAGATGGTTGATTGATTTTTGCTATTACTTATATTCAGAATTGATGAAGGTAATTCGTTAAAAATTGACATAGATGTAGAACTTAGTCTGGTAGAACATGCGTTCTACTAGGCTACTAATTAAGTTTTTGTTTCAACCTGCGGACGAAGTTGCGGGCGATAGCTAGTTAAGTACGAAACTAATGAAAGCTAGACTTAGTAAACCATCGCTGACCGAAAAGACCGACGGAATATTTTAATATTATGTTTGCATTATCAATGTTAACTCACCCACTGTCTTTGTCAACGTAGTATTTGACCGTTCGTTTGAGACCGTCAGGTTGAATCAACCAGTACATCCCTTTGACCTTGTCTCCGTCTCTGGTTTCTTGTTGTCCCTTGTAGTCGTTTGTATGTGGATCTTCGACTTTGTACGAGAAGTCATATAACGGATATGACCAGGCCTAAGACAGAATTAGAACATTATATTATCATTCACAAATAGTGTCAGCATTTGATGCAAGATTTGATCAGTCATGATTAACATGGATTTGGCATGAAATGTACATATTACATTTCTTTATGTAACAACAGAGAGTAAAAAGGCGCTCTATTCTTTTATCAATAATTTGAGAAATAACTGGAATCCTAGGTACGATGTACATTCTCAGATGATCAGATTTAGGAGTAGGATTAATATTTGTGGTGATGAACAATCTCCTATTTTATGATGGCTATATATCGAGTGTCTCTTACGCTGTAGATATTGTAATGTAAATATCAAATCCAGACTCTTAAAAGTAAAAGTCTTACATATTCCTCATGGTGTTCTGGTGCATGGTGTCCGAAGTGTGACAGTGCTCCATGGTGACCGCTGTAAAGTACAACGCTCTGATGTGATACCGCGGGTTCGTGACCGAAGCAGTCAACAGCTAACACCAAGAGTATTATGAACTAGAAATAAAAAGAAGCATTACTAAAAAAACTACTGAAATCGACTTTACTGCGTTATGTATATTACAAAGGAAAGTCACTATTGTTAGGAAAATCCGACACTGTGTCGGTGTATCGGCGCAACACTAGCTTTATTAAAATTTCAACGTTTATGTCACTTATCTATCTGACACTTGACTTGGTAACGAAAGCGCGTCATTCGCGGCAAACGATTCTAACTAATAATTGTCTAAAACTATTAAAATCGTAAATCAAGAATTCACAACCGAAGAGATAGCAACAAACGGGCATACGGATTATTTAACTTTATTTTCATTGTTCAATGATGATGTCAAAGTAAATATATAAAACAAATTAAATTAATACAATGAAATAAATTAAAGCTATATAATTTTTACCTTCCAAACCATTTTTCGTCCTCGCATGTAGATGTGTAATAAAAATTTTATTGTTTCCATTGAATCATAAGGTTTTATACCAGAATAGTATGAAAAGAAACTCAATAATTACCGCATTTCCTATACTGTTAGCGTTACTAATAATTTTTAAAATCGGTCAGATATCCTTATTTCGTTTTTGGTAGACAGATGATTGATTGTAAAAACTATACGAAAACAAATTATTTCACTTGACTAGGTGTTAGGAATGAATAATAAGAAAACAGCATTTTTCTACTGCAATATGAATCATAAAAAGTATTTAAACAATCAAGTAACATGTGTTTCAGTAAGTAATCTGTTTGTCGGTTGAATTTATGTTTTTGAGGGTTTTTGACGAAATAAATGGTAATAAAAAACAAAAGTTACTTGTTAGGTAAATTTATTTTCGAATAAAAAATACATTTCTATCATATTTGCATTGGGTTACCATTCTGTTATTAGGACGATCGTATTTAATTATGATGCTGAGAGATATGAACGTGATGATGAGGAGACGAATGATGCACAACAGCATTAAAACTGAAAGAAGATTAAACATGTTTTATTTACGATGCAGTATTATAATAAAGAACTATAAGAAATACTTGACTAACCGTGGGTTTTTGAAACCAAAATCTCTGCTTAAAACATAATGTCTATTTTGTCAAGGAATAACAGGGATGACGACGTTGTGTTTTAACAGAGAATTTGCTCTAAGAATTCAACGGTACGATACTATGAAAAATACACGGTTTAAAAAAAATAAAAAAAGTCATTGTTTCCAAGAATAAAATACCTAGTGCATTGAATATAAGCCAATAAAAGAAAATGCAATTGTATGTTTGAAGTGGGTTTTCACTGCAACTTATCAAAACAAATTATCGTCTTTCTGATTTTCTTGAAAATACAAATATTAGCAATCCACCGATACGCTACATATTACATAGTTCGTGTGAAGAAGCTATTACGTGAATATCAGTTCCGTTGCTGTAACAACGCATGCGTTACATACGTTATAGGAACGGAAAAATGTTATACAAATAAATCATTGTCGTATTGTAAAGGTTATATTCACTTGTGTTATCGGTTTTTAATTTCGTTCAAGACGTCAATAACCAAATGATACTTCAAACGAATAGTATTGATACTTTATTTTGACTTATTTTTATTGTTCTGTCCCAAATATTACTTAAATACAAGCCTCTTAGGTCAAGCACTACTGAGGGCTATGTCGTCCAATTGTATTTCCATCTACAATATCGTAAGTTATGTAATAAACATAATATCTTACCCAGTATGGTCATCGGCTTTGTATTCTACTTTTCTGTACCGGCCGTCGGGTTCGATCAGTTCGTAGCCTCCCTTCACGACGTCCCCATGACGGAACTCATGTTGGGATTTCACATCGCCTGTGTGATGATCGTGGACGGTATATGCAAAGTTGTACTCAGGAAATGACTGAAATTGGCCAAAGTATGACATATTTATATATTAATTATATTTAATAGAAGCCTTTTTGAATATGGTGCAATTAACTTATGGTCTAAATGTTTTATTTTTTTTAAATGATTCACCAAAATATGAATGCACTATTGTTGACCATATGTTAAAGATTTGTGTTGGCTGATATTCTACTCACGTAATGGTCATGGTGGGCTGCATAAGGCACAGGCACGTGATGTACTGGCGCATGGTGCAATAATGGCAAGTGGTGAATGGGCTCGTGGTGAATCGGTCCGTGGTGAATCGGTCCGTGGTGAATGGTCTCGTGATGAATGGGCAAGTGATGCACCGGGGCATGATGCACGAGGACAGGGTGATGGGGACCGTCGTGCTTGTTCACCTGTTGATGCGAAACCGCCAAATGGTGTGGATGGTGATGATGAAATTCATACAAGCTATGGCATGTTGATGCCAGTGTACAAAATGTTAGAATCTGGAAAAAAAATATTGAATACAGAAAAATGCAAAGTGTTGCTTCACTAATAAAATAATAGGCGCTTAATATATTTCATCGATTTCCTAAAGGATTTTGGATACTTAACAGTTTTAATTTAATGAAATTAATTCACTTAACAATACGAAGCAATACTAGCAATAGTATTTCTCTTCAAATAATATTTTCCTTTTATTTTTTTTACATTTGTATACTCACTTTAGACAGCATTATATATTAATTTTTAAAACGAGACACTTTTCCTAACATCAACTTGGCCAATAGTGAATACGTTTGTCTCTCGCTCATTAATATATAGACAGCATAATTGTGGGAAATATTAGTGCAAAAATCTATTGATCCATTTCTTATTCTTTGCAACATCGTACTGCGATGGTGAACGAAGTTTACTGTGAAAATCTATTGTATGTTTCTGAGTAGAACACCACTACTGTGTACTATATAGTACTCTGGATAAATTTCAAATATAGCACTAAAAATATTATCCAATGTCTAGTACAGTCGCGAAAGTTGCCGGTGTTCCTCTTACAGAAAAATTGCCTTGTTCCTTGCAACGAGGCAAATTCGCTTCATTTTACAAATAATCAAATAGCTAGCAGTGAGTTCTGTAAACGATAATAATAAAAAAGCTGTTAGCCGTGTATATATGACTAAACTTCGTAAAGGCATATATAAAAGCTGCGTCTTATTGGTCATTGTTCTGAGTCGTTGCCTCAAAGTGTACAAACCGTTCAAACAACTTACCATTTGTGGTAGTACACCACCAGAATCCCCGATTGTACTTCTGAGTAATTTACTTTCAAAGTTTATTCTTCACAACAGTATAAAATATTATATCTAAAAAATAATTTTCTAGTCGGTCGTATTCGGTCTAATCTATACCGATTTCTACCGATGATAAATTTTCATACCTTACACTAATATTTACTTGTTATGGTTTTCGATTTTAATTTACTTTGTATACTTATTAAGTATCCAATCAAAATTATTGTACGTAAATGTACATAAAAGAGAGAAATTGATTATTGACGAAGGTCAAAATTTACGTGTGGACGATTGCTTTTTGCGAGTATAATTAAATAATTTGGCAAAGATATTACTTCATTAAAATCGCACAATTTATAATTGGTATATTATGAGGAGAGAAAAAAAATCGTATTAATTTAAATATAGTTTACATTTTGGTCATGGTTACTCAATGTAGGGCATATTTCGGTCTACAAACAAATAATCTTTATTTCATTGCAAGGAGTAACACATCTAGTAAAAAAAAAATATACTTAAAAATCATTATCTAAAATTCTAAGTCTAATAAATTCATAACGCGTTTGTGCATCCTGTATATGACGGTATGAGCGAGCTCACTAATTTGCTGTAAACAAAAAAAATGTAACTTACCTACCGTTTTATAGCGTAGTACCAAAGTGTCTGGACAAACCCGCAATGGGTTTATAGACACTTTTATTGTAAATTTGTATTTTATTCCTTGTTTATATAAATAAATAAAAAAAAAAATCTCATGAAAGACATCAATTGAAAATATTCTATTTTATTTCCTCGCCTGCGCATTAAGTTCATATCAAAATCCCTAGGTATGTTTATGACGTTCTGTTAAAATCGCCCTAAGTAATATACATTTGCATGCAACTTACACTAACTTTAATTCAAAACACGCAAAATCATGTCATGGTGGAAGTTAACAACGTGAATTGCTACATTCGAGTGACCGTAGTTTAAAGTGTCACTTATTGCGAGAATTATGAGAAACAACATGCTCTTAGTATCAAGTGTAATCATGTCAAAGCGACAAAAATTCATTGAGCCGACCCGCGGCGGTTGCACAAGCAAGTGTAATGTGACATAATTACATGCACTAGAATATGTGAACAACAAAGTAAAAAGGTTCACAATGATACAGTTCTGCAAACATATTGGATTATGAAATGCTTTACCTATAAAAGCATTTTGTTCTTTGATAAAATACAAATCTAAGGAGTCCGTAGTGTTAGTGTCGGTTACAATAATTTAGAAATTTTAATGGAATAAACTGAAGTTAGATTTTCTATTAGTACGCAGATTTGTATATCACAAATTACTTAAAATTTCGTTGAACCAAAATCTATGCTCCAATTATTTCGATATTAATTGACTTATTTATTGATGCAATAAAGATTCATATAAAGTCCATAAAAAAATGTGCATGAAATATTGTATTATTTACCTACATATATTAAAAGAGGCAGAATCGATTATGGCCTCCTAAATAAACCGGCGTCCGGCGCCGCGTCGACCTCGCACAGATTGAGTAAAACCGTGTATGCAACACGAAATAATAACAGAGAAAAAATACATCAAGCTATTGATTTACTAAATAAATAATAAGTTCACCATAGAGTAGAGCAATATAAAAAATATATGTGGTCTGTATCAGATAATGTAACTGGTACTATTAAAACTTTTTACTTATTTAACTATTGCATTAAGAAAAATAACCTTATGAAATTTAACGTACAGTCAGCGTCATATAGATCGTAACAGACAAGATATGCAAATATATAGGTACATCAAAAGTAATCAATTATATCGGTACAACAAAAGTCCTCAAAATAATAGATACATTCACCCTGCTCAAAAACATCGGTACATACACAGCGTCAAATATATGAGTACATGCAAGATGCTCATAAATATCGTAGCAGCCACAGCGTCATAAGTAACGAAGCAGTCAAGGTGCGCAAAAATATCGGTACATTTGACAAAATTGAACTCTATCTCTATATACTTGTGATACAATTTGGAATAAACTACTTCTGTTACATTCATTTGACACTTTGTATTAACATTATAGGTTGTCCGGAAAGTTCGTTCTGATTTTCGATATAAATCTTACAATAGACTGTAGCTGAAGTGGATTCATTTTCGGATTTCCACCATTATCAAACGTCACGAAAATTTCTATATTGTGAATAATTTCATTTCATTGGTTGAGATAAAAAGTAATTTTTAAAATTTTATCCAATAATAAAAGACGTTTTAGGTATAGAGTCGTACCAATATAATTTAAAAACATTTCCAAAAATTTAAGAGAACAGGGTTTCAATTTTCCTTATAAAGCGGCACGAACTTACTGGGCAACCCAATATTTTTCCTCTCCTGTCATAACGCTTAAATATATTATAAAAGTTTGTCACGCCGAATATGACAGATACGTAATAACTAATATCAAATTTTGCCTTGTCACAATATATACAAGTTTGGCGCAGTATTCTAGTATGTTTGCCGTAATATGTAAGTTTACCGGTTCGAATCTCAGGCTACTTTTTTTTTCATTTTATCAATCACGGGGTTATTTTTTCATAACCAGTAAAAATTTGGTAATGTAAAATTTTGCTCGACAATTTTTTTTTATAATTTTCGCTGTCGGGTAGAAAGAAATTTAAATAACGTTAACAACAATTAGGTCAGACCATCGCGGGTGAAGTGAGTGGGCGGAGCGCGGATTGTCATTGCGGGTTTTATGAATGGTACGCGCGGAAACTATACGTACAAGTGTTATCTACATATGTGTGCGCGCCCACGCACACTGGAATGTTTATTGCAATCGACTAAAAATTTGATGTAGTTTGGATATTGACATTCAGTTTTTTTTCTTTGTTTCTTAAATATAATCAGTATCAGTAAAAGGTAAAAGTAAAAGTGTTATTTTTACCGGTACAAGTTTAACAAACATGAGTAATAAACAAATTACATGTCAATAGCATCGCTTTATCTCCTTCATTTTTGTTTGAAATAGAAAAGTACTTTAACGGTCAAACTCAGTCCAAGGCAATATCAAAAAGTACCTAATAACTACGGCGATAGAGTTTAATTACATGTGCTTCGATATTAAAATTAAAAAGTTTAAATATCAAAAAAAAAAAATAGTGGCTTGGGATTTGAACCGCCGACCTTACGTACCAACGGCGGCGAACGGTAAGGCCACGAGACCAAACTAGCATATATGATGACAAACTTAAATTTGACGTTGGTTTTATCTACCTAATATCTGTCATCCGCGTCGAACACTTTTAGTAAATTTTGAAAAATGGTTTCATGCAAAGTGTCAAATGAATGTAACAGAAGTAGTTTATTCCAAATTGTATCACAAGTATATAGAGATAGAGTTCAATTTTGTCAAATGTACCGATATTTTTGCGCACCTTGACTGCTTCGTTACTTATGACGTGGTGGCTGCTACGATATTTATGAGCATCTTGCATGTACTCATATATTTGACGCTGTGTATGTACCGATGTATTTGAGCAGGGTGAATGTATCTATTATTTTGAGGACTTTTGTTGTACCGATATAATTGATTACTTTTGGTGTACCTATATATTTGCATATCTTGTCTGTTACGATCTATATGACGCTGACTGTACATAATCTTTAGCAGCGGTGTTTATTATCGTGGGAATTATCTTTGTATTTATAATAATAAAGGTACAGATTAGTAGGTTAATTAAATATTCCATACCTTATATAATTCCGCTTTACTTTAGGGAAGTGAAGAAATCAATTTTATCTTTTTTAGTTACGTTTGTATAACTTTATAAAAGTCTAATTCGCGTGTTTATCTTCAGAAATATTTATTAAAATAAAACTATAAATAGTGTGAGAGAAAACGCGTATCATTCTACGGATTCTCTTGTTGTAATACTTTCGAATAAATGCCTTAAAACTGACAATGGATTTCACGCATTATTCGTGACTTGGGACTCGTTCACAGTTACAATAACGAGTTACAGTTGTAAAAAAAATATAAGTATATTGACACCTTTTTATTGTATGCATACATTTATATCGTTAAAGCGGATTTAACATGACAAAAAACTGAACATTTGAAGCGAAAAATAACTGAAGACGGACGAAAAAAAACGTAAAAAGTATTCGATAAAAAACAATTTTTTGCAACTGCATAACATTCAGCCAAAATTTTAATGCATTCCGACTGATGGCTTAGACTAATAAAAATTTGTATCACGATGTATTTTCCCGATACACTCCGAAACTACTGAACCAATTCTTATCAAATTTTGTAAGCCTCTGTAATTATGGTAAGTCCAACTTAGGAGGTAGGGTACTTTTTATCTATATTATTGATCTTTTTTATAAAATTTCGGGCGGACGAAGTCGCGGGCGACAGCTATTTTTATATAGATATTGAATCAATGTGAATGCCTTACACGAAAGCACAACACAATGGTTAAGTTACGAACTCAAGGTCATTCCGCGTTCGATTCATTCCATCAGTTATCTTAATGCTTTAATAGTTGATTTTTATCTTACGTTTTGGTTTTATTTCTAACAATTGTCTGATAGTTATATACATAGATATAAATATGTATAAGTTTAGATCTATCTGACGTTTGTGGTTAGGAAATTGAGAAGTGGGTTTGGTTGGCGTTGGGACGTTTGATACAGATAATGCAATGTGCGAAAGCTGTTTGACTATTGCCTTACTCTTAAGTAATTTAGTCCTAATCTACATAGTAAGTTTATGCAAGTATTAGAATAGTTTATTGTTGAGTTTAAGTAAGCAAAATGAAGTAAAACAGAAGCAAAAGGTATGTAAGCGCAAAATTACAATTCAAATGGTCTACAATGATATATCTTAGAATTTTCTCTTAGTTCATTATTTAACTAATGATACTAACCTTAGAGCGGTGGTGGCTCAGGGGTCAATCACTCGACTTGCAATCTGTAGGACCCGGGTGCGAATCCCGCCATGTACCAATGTGTTTTTCGATTTCCGATTTACATATGTACATTTATCCGACGTTCTTACGGTGAAGGAAAACATCGTGGTGCAACCTGCACATATCTGAGAAAAAATTCAAAGATATGTGTGAAGTCAACCAACCCGCACTGGACCACCGTGGTTGACTATGGTCTAGTCACCCTTGATTTAGGGTAGGTTCCGAGCCCCTCAGTGAGGACATATAGTGAGCTGATGAGCGATACTAACCTTTGGTGGCCGAGATTAAAATCTCATCATAAATCATATCGTCATCTCTGTCATTATCTTTGACAAAATAAAGATAACAATATCTTTTACACGAGGATTTTGGTCTCAGAAACCCACGGTAATAGACTAATATTGTCAGAATTAATACATAAGTACGAATAAATTCAGATAGTGCTATAACTTTAAACTAGTACAGAAACTAATTGATTTTTTTGCACGTTTACGATTCTATTAAATGAAACTGAATGGCACAATCGAGTATGTGATAAATAAATTGTTCTCCTGATTATGCTTATAACAGAATGGTCAATCAACTTTTAGTTTTTTCTATATGTAAAAAATAGGTATAAATATAAAATTCTCGTGTCACAATTTTCATTGCCATACTCCTCCGAAACGGCTTGACCAATTCTCATGAAATTTGGTGAGCATATTGAGTAGGTCTGAGAATCGGCCAACATCTATTTTTAATCCCGCGCGGACGGAGTCGCGGGCGACAGCTAGTAATCTAAAGATAAGACGAGAAACGACAAATAACTATTGCTTTTATAGTATTTGCCAAAGTTAGTCAAAAAAAAGTATCTGTCGGTTAAGAAAACATAACCGAATAAGAACGAATACTTCTCTAACCGTGGGTTTCTTAGACCATAATCCCCGTTTAAAACATATTGTTAAATCTCTTCTGTCAAAGATAATGACAGGGATGACTGTAAGTTTTATAGAGAGATTTCAGATTCAGCTGCTGGTAATATGCAAAAAAAAAAATTAATAAATTAAATCCATACATTAAGTCAAATATAGAATCAAGTTTGTATATAGTTTTTTTTTGTTAATGTCATTTGTTAAAAGTATTTGCAGAAAGGCGTTTCAACTTCGTTGGTAATGATCATATATTGCATTTCGTAACTTGGCCTTTATTGCCGCTTCACAGGAAATTGAGGCAATTTGTACAGGACTTTGCCCACGACTCTATGTTTGCTTTGCCTTCACTGGACAATCGTTACGGATAATGATTGACTTTAAATTGGCCTCATGACGAAATCAAATCTGTACAAATCATGTGTAAATTAGGAATGTACGCACAGCTTTGATTTGTATGACAAAACAAACAGCTTTTATAATTATATATTTCTAGGTCGCAACACTGTCGTGTTATTGTTGCGAAGTATTTCACGTAATTGTACCAAAATAGAAGAGTGTTGGGGTAACACACAATTACGCTTGATCGTTAAATCATATACAATAATTTAGTTGCTCTCCCATCTGAATTCGCCTAGTATGTCCTAGGGCAATTAGTAAGTATAGGCTTTTTAATAAAAATATTTGGTATTGGAGTGCTGATTGTTTTGGTAGATTTGCTAGGCTTTTAACTTTTTAATAACAATTTAGGTGAAGCAGGATAGTGTTACTTATTTACTGGTATCTAAAAAAATAAAACAATATAACGTCCATTTGAGTGGGATGGATGCATTATATTCTAACTTTTTATGAATAAAAGATAATTTTTATACTGATCAGCAATTCAATTTATTTACAAATGAGTATTAATTCATTACTTCATACACATAAATATCACACATCAAACATACAACGAGCACAAGTTATACATTATCTAGTTGGTTAATGATGGAGGAGACCATGATGACCGAGGGCGAGGGGCGCGGCGGCGTAGTGTGCGAGGGGGGCGGCGGCGTAGTGTGCGAGGGGAGCGGCGTGACCCAGGGAAGCAGCGTGCACCACGGGTGCGGCGTGGACCACGGGCGCGGCGTGGACCAGGGGAGCGGCATGGACCACGGGGGCGGGGTGGTGGCCAGCGGTCTTGTGGACAACCGCGTTGAAACTGAAATAATGTCATAGGGTTACATGTCTGTAGCAGTTGTATTGTAGCGAGAAGAGAGAATATTTGTTTGTAAAATTGCAAATTAATAGTGTGTTTGGTAGCGGAGAGCGTTGCGCGGAATAAGGAAATATGCGGTTCGAATCCGCCATTCCGTTAGTAACTACTTAGGTTTTTACTTTATATGGCAAATTATGAAGTTTATTCGTTTATTTACCCATTGTGGTCGTCAGCGGTGTAATCTACTTTGCGTACGGAACCGTCAGGCTCGACCAGGGAGTATGAGCCGTGCACTGCACCACCGTCGCGGCTCTCGTGCTGCGATTTGTGGTCACCGGTGTGGGGGTCAGCCACAGAGTAAGAGTAGTCATAACGGGGGTGAGACTGTAAAGAAAATTTACTTTAATAAAAAGAAAATCAGTGGAGACGCTTAAAGAGATAATTTATATAATAAATACTTACGTATTCGTGACCGTGAGCGAGGGCAAGAGGAGCAGCGTGTACAACTGGTGCAGCGTGGGCAACGATGGGGGCAGCGTGGACAACGGGCGCGGCGTGGGCAACGATGGGCGCAGCATGGACCACTGGTCCGGCGGCGTAGTGCGCGGGCGCGTAGTGCACTGGCGAGTCATGACGCACTATGCTTTGAGATGACACCGCAGAGTGGTGCAGCGGCAGAAGACCTGCGCTGGCAGCCGCCAAAACGGCGCTCAAGACGACAACCTGGAATAATAATATTTAATAATTTCCTATAGGGGTTAGAGAACTAAAGAGTTATAATTGTTACGTAAAGATAGGAATTCCCAGTTTTACAGTTTCCAATTGGAATAAAAGCCAGGTTCTCCACTAAAAATCAAGAAAAATACAAGATTTTTATAATATAATCAACCTGATAGTCCTATCGAAATATAGGTTGGTTTCCAATGCTATCGTCGAAGCTTAGCTACACCAAAGAGCTAAGCTGTAAGCCGCACTGATCTATTGTCGGCTCGGGATTCATTTTACTAGTTCTTCCGGACGAAATTTGTATCTTTGTATTTAAACCTTTATTGCAAGCTACCCTTAATTTTCAGATTATAGATAAAAATATTTTTTGTTAATATATTAAAATAATTTATTGTCGACTTACTTTGGAGAACATTTTGCGGTTGCTAATCAGTGCAAGAGAATGATAATGGTATCGTAGCGTGGTGTGACTTTTATATGAAAATCAAAACGGAGCTGTGGTCCTTTGGGTGGTGGGGAGCGGTCACTCAGTTCCGTAACTCTGACACCGCGAGGTCGCTCACGGCTCGCGTGCGAAGTGAAATAATGATTCATTAATCTCCCCCAAGCCGTCGGCGCCTTCGCCCCAAAGCTACTGGTCGTACTTAAATGATAAATTAATGTTGCTCAAATCATTTTACATAGCCATTTTATGTCAGTTTAACTATGTAAGTTAGAGGAAAACTGAAATAAATGCTTTTGTTTTCTTATTAAAAATTCGTAAGAACTTAGCTATCTTTACATTTTTCACGTATAATAATTTGGGTGGTCCATAGTGGGCACTTCATAGGGGTGTTATTTCGATCCGATGTGTTCTGGATGCATCTTTCGTTTTATGTTTGTTCTGTCAACAGAAAAGGACATTTGTTCTATCAACGGATGAATCAAGGCAACCATTTTATTAGTTTTTGGACGTTAACATAAGATAAATCTTGTGTGAGTAGTTAGAGAGAACGGACATGATTAAATGAAAATATATGTACCGCCTTTTTCGTAACCATTTTGGACAGAATATTAATTGTAATTTATAATTCAAAAGAGCTTTTAGTTTTTATATTGATTATTGTTTTCATCACATTTTCCCTACACCTAGCTCTATGTACCAACATGTGCCTTATAAGTGACAGTGTTGATCATGCTCAATAAATTCCATAAATAAAACGTTAACCTGTCAGCTCTCATTTAAAATGTATCAATAATATAATCATAAAATTAAAAACGCTATTTGTTAACCGGTGAATGTAAGTTCATAATCAAAAGCTTGACCTTCGGTGCTTTTTAAACGGACAATTAGTTCCAGATAAATTTGACAATTTATTGACATGTGTTCGCCTATATTATCGACTTCATATAATTACAATTATGTTGCGAAACAGATATATTGAGTACACTATGAGTTTAACCGCACCGTGGTTACGGTTCCGGATAAAATCTGGTGCATGTTTGATTTCTTAACCTTTGTTAGTAATGCGATCACAAGGAACAGATATTGAAATTGCGCAGTATTGCAGGTAACGAAGTTTTAATTGTCACTTAAATTAAGCACTATACAATAGCCTATGTATTTTGGACAAGAAGGTTTAAGAGAAAATCAAATAGTTAGGGTTCTTATAAGGAAGATTAGTTTTCTGTTTTTGTTAGCGAATGTTCATCTGATGTATTGATTTAATTAGATTCCACAGTATTTTTCAGGTAAAAAGTTGTTCCACATTCGAAGATGCGTGTATTTTATTATATGTTTCAAATGTCGAAGTGCATAGTAGTATAAAAGTTGCCATCTCTCTCATTCCCTTGCAAATAAACAAAGATAGTTATATTAAGTTAGTTAAGAATTTCACGGTTACAGAAATAGAATAAGTTTATAAAATATTGTCCCGCAGTCTCTTACGTAGGTTTACTTCGCATGATGAGAAGTAATTTGCATAACGACAGCACTGCGCTCGTTCTGTGATCGTTCGCTTATTAAGTGACAAAGTGCAAAAACTTGATTTGAGTTTTGAACTTTACGATAGAAGCGTTAGCAACAAAAACGAAAAATATAACATTTTTAACTAACTTTTTACGAAGGGTGTAATTATTAGAAATAATTATTAAACCATGCTTCCTTACCATAGGCAATCAAGCGTTGTAATTTATTATTCGTGACTCTAACAATAATCTTACACGGATTCGTATCGTTTGGCATTCCCAATGATTTTAACGTGACCGAATGTCCCACGATTGTTGATTGATTTAATTGGTTTGAACTGTGTTCGGTAATCTCAATGGAACTTGAGTAAAAAATAATTTATCTTATACCAATAAAATTATTTACATTGCTGTTATCGATATTTTTATTCGTATACTAGCTGTCGCCCGCGACTCCGTCCGCGCGGGATTAAAAATAGATGTTGGCCGATTCTCAAACCTACTCAATATGCTCACAAAATTTCATGAGAATCGGTCAAGCCGTTTCCGAGGAGTATGGGAACGAAAATTGTGACACGAGAATTTTATATATAAGATAATTTAGTACATCTAGTAAAGTATAATCAGAAGAAATATTTTTTTGGGATTACTTTGCACATGTTGTATACGATGTGAGAGTTTCTATTGTCAAAAACCTGAATAAAATAATGGTTGTCTTTGTTTTTAAAAAGAGTGTTACCTTTCTCTCGGGGGATTACAATATTAATAATATGTTTTTCTACCTTGGAATACTATATGAGAATGGTACTAGAGATGAATAGAAGAAACAAGATGAAGGTTTGTATAAGTTAGCACTTATCTTGGAAAAAAATCTGGTGAATTTTAATTCAATTTTATAATACCTTGTGCAGTTGTAAATAAGTAAAATAAAAATGAATCGTAAATTACTCACTATCCAGCGACCGTGACATTATGTTCGCCATTAATTTTAATCAATGGGCATTGTTCTGAATTGTTAATCTTGTTTATATGATCGTGAACTATGATATAGTTCAATAATAAATTCGATAGTAATGGAAAATAATTAATAGTATAAAATATTCTATTGTTGATTCTATTCAGTCCGTAGTTATATTTCGAAAGGTCTCATACGTTAAAGGATGATAAACTACGAGATGTCAATAACCCAGAAGATTGCGTACTCTAAATTGAAAATTGATGAGACCTACACAGTATCAATTTAGTTTTTTTTTAATGTTTACTGATACTTTTAATGGACCAGAGACATAGTGTAAACTTTTCAATGTTCAAATCTGTTACAAAATATTATATCAAGGTAAAAATATAAAGAGATAACCTCTTTGGAGAAAGAAATAAGGATTGATAATTTTAAAATTGTGTTTAGGAATTGAAAAGTACATCGTATCGAAATTTTCATAACTATGTTTTAAATGAAACCAAAATTTAATCGATAATAAAAAATAATTTTCAACCTTCCGATTTACGGTCGAATGAAAAGTATTTCTAGCACCTAAAATATGTAAAATTTTAGATAACTTGAAGCATATAATAACAAGTGACACGAAATTCGCAATTAGGCAAGAGAAGTAATGAAACTGTGTTAAGCATTATTTAAATCGCTTATGACATCGCGACTGCAGCCGACAAACAAGTTTTCTATTAAACAAGGGCAGTAAACGGGCGTCGACGAAAGTTCTGCCCACGATCTTTCTCAATATCAAGAATGCGTAAGGATTTCTTCCACCTGTACAGAAATATAGTTCACTTTATTTTATTTCACCTTTTTTAGTTGCTATAGCATATTAGACCAACCTTTAAAGTTTAAATCAATTACTGTTAAATTAACAGTATTTTTAACTAACTTTCACCGGCGACTCCAATCGCCTGGAGTAAAAAAAATCTTTATAAGTAGTAGTCTATGTGTTCATTTAGATTATCACCACTTCTATCGGAACTGAGATGAATTATTAAGCTAAAAACCATGACCTACCATATTTTTCCAAAACGTAGAAATACTTGATTATCCTGGTTTTAAAAACAAATGACGTTTGTCGGATTGACTCAATTGTTGTCAAATAAAAATCATCCTGTATCTATTATTTTACACATAAAAGTCAATGTAACTACATGAAGTATAAATATCTCTTGCTTTTAATAAAACGGGTGCACAACTTTTGGAAACAGAATAAATTAATTTAAACTAAATGTTAATTGTTATCTGTGTGTTTGTTCTCAACAAAATCAACGCTGTACGTAATGAGTGTTGTTACAATGTCGTTATAAATTACCATGTTTGCATTGCTTTCGTCATTTTAATGTACATTTGTATAACAAACTTTCGCAACGTGTGCAACTGCTGTGGGTGTGCGCCTTAATTAAACTACGTTGAATTCGTTTTTGTCTCTATAAAATAAATTTATGTATATTTTTTATGACTTTAGATTTTGTAATTAATGGAAGAAATAAGAAACAAGCAACATCTGAAAACCCACACTTTGTAGATTTGATGATGACCATTTAAATTAAAAAAAATCTTTTTCATAATGTGTCCGCTCAATGTTTTCGTTGATGCTTGGAAAATTAAAAACAATAATAAGTTTGTACTAGATTTTATTGACTAACGATTTATAAACAAACATATAAGAACAAAATCAACAAAAGCGAGACTAAATAAAAACTTTGGGTCGTTTAAAGATCGGATTATTAACAGTTATTAATGACGATGGTGCTGAGAAGAATACACGTGGTGACTGGGACCTGAGTTGTGGACGACTGCGTTGAATCTGCAATGAAACGTCACGTCTTAGTCACGATGTTTACAATGTGAACTCGTTTGAAACTTGTTTGATACACCTGTCCAACGGCATATGAATGCGAGACTCGTATGCGAAAGGTCGACAGAGTTCATTACTCATATGGACCGGAACGCGAATCGTATAACCGGTTGGACAACCATATGATCTTAAACGAATCGATATAACTTACGATACAGTTTCCGGTAATTAAGACTTTTAGCAATGCAATGTTAGATTTTGTAAACCAATTAAGACGGGCTTGCTATATGTAATAGGAAGGAAATTAAGTCGTGGTGTTGAAAATTATGACGAGCAATAGGCCTTCTAACGAGATGGCTTGTGGTTGGGATAGAATAAAAATTATTTATTTTATAAGGTCCCATGAAGCTACAATAACGTTTGTTTAGGAGTAGCGTAAAGTCACTGATTCATGATTTTAAAATATTATAATTGCAACTTTGCTTACCCATTGCGATCGTCAGCTGTGTAGTGAACCTTCCTGAAGGTACCATCAGGCTGCAAGAGGGAGTATTCTCCCTTCACTACATCCCCGTCGCGTGTCTCGTGCTGGGCTTTGTGGTCGCCGGTGTTAGGATCCTCCACAGAGTATGAGTATTGATATTGAGGGTGTGACTGTAAATTGCAATAATAAGGTTAACATTATATTTACAATGTTTTATAATTATGCTGAATTAGTAAATGTACTTACGTAGTAGTCATTGTAGCTCCCACGCTGACTGATTCCAGAGTATCCTCCAAGGTGCCCGAGGGGACGACCGTAGGCTGCAGAGTACGTTAGAGACGCGCCATGCCCTAATGGGGAAGTATAACCTAAAGAGGCACCATGGGCAAGTGGAGCAGTATGGGCTAATGGTGTGGCATGTGCTACTGGTCCAGCATGGACTAATGGTGCACCATAGTTAAGGGGGCCTGCACGGGCAAGAGGTGCGGCATTGGCAATGGAATTGGATTGGACTGTGGATGTAGCATGGACCACGGGACTTGCGCCGCGGGCCAATAAAGAATTTTGTGCCAATGGGGTAGCGTGCACCGACGGTGCGGCATGAGCCAATGAATTGGCGTGCGCTAAACCAGCGTTAGCCAAAGGAGAGGCGTGGGCCAAAGGAGCGGCGTGGGCCAAAGGAGTAGCTTGGGCTAAAGGTGCAATGGGGGACAATGGAGCAGCATGGGCCAGTGGAGCAGCGTGTGCCAAAGGAGCGGATTGTGCTAAAGGAGCAGTGTAGGCAAGTGGAGCAGTACGGACCAAAGGAGTTGGGTGGGCGAAAGGACCGGCTTGAGTGAAAGGAGCACCGTATGCCAAAGGAGCTGGATGGGTCAAAGGACCAACTTGAGCGAAAGGAGCAGTATGGGCCAAAGGAGCCGGATGAGCTAAAGGACCGGCTTGAGCAAAAGGAGCAGTATGTGCAAAAGCTGCGCCGTAGGGGAAAGGTCTAGGAGCGAGTCCTCCGGCGAGGCCAAGCTGACCGCCTAGGGCGTACTGATTGTTATAGGCTGCGCCATATCCGCTGTGCGCACCCCGGAGGAGCCCAGCTCTAGCGACTGTTATCGCAGCTACAAACGTAAGAATCTGTAACAATTTTAAATGTTTTAGATTTTTTTCTCGTTTATTACAAATTAACTAAATTTTTAGAGAAACTCACTTTACTAAACATTTTAGCGTTGGAATGTAATCAGTTGCTATGATACTCTCGATGATAATCCGAGGGTTTTATAAGAATAGTATCGCGGCTCCGGTGGGGCGTCGAGAGCGCTTCGCGGATCGTCCCCGCGGTCGCAAGGTCGCGCTTTGTCTTCACAATCTCGAATTACACATTATCAAGTTAATGATCGTTACTTAACAATAACACTCTGTGAACTGCTCGTAGTACGCTTCAGTATTGTGGGTCAATGAGGTCTGCGATAAGATATTATTACTTTAACAGTTTTATTTCGCAGCGCATTTGCAAGATCACGAAACTAGCTACTGGGTGTTGAGATTTCTGGTTGTAAGTTCATTACAAGTTTAATGTTCCTTGCTAAAAGCAGTTGTTTGTTAGTGATATACAGGTGGTAATATTTTACGTTATAATTTGTAACAAAAATTTTGCTCCGTGCAAGAGAACAATAGGATCACAAAAAGATGTAAAAAAAATTTTGCTTTTAAAAGAGTTGAAAAATGTGTTTCGATGTGTTATATAGTCATAGCCATAGTTAACCACGTTGGCCAAGTGCGGGTTGGTTGACTTCACACATATCTTTGAATTACTTCTCAGATATGTGCAGGTTGCATCACGATGTTTTCCTTCACCGTAAGAACGTCGGATATATGTACATATGTAAATCGGAAATTTAAAAACATATTGGTACATGGCGGGATTCGAACCCAGGACCTGCAGATTGCAAGTCAAGTGCTTAACCCCTGAGCCACCAACGCTCAATTATGTGAATGTATACATATTCGATACTTCTTAATTAGAATCTTTTGTGGATCAACAAAATATTGACCAAGAAAATAAGGAGAATCTTCAATTTTTTTGTTTATACAGTTACGCCTTTATCGCTAAAAGGCATGATATTTCTAAGACGCCCTAGGGTGATTTTTAATTCATTGAAACCACAAAATTTGTTTGAATTGTAAGGAATAAGTAGAGTAACAGTTCCCATTTTTTAACGCGAATTTTAGATATATTTTACTTTTACTAGATTATGATAGTGAAACGTTCTTGTTAAAATGGCTTTTTCGACCTTTTACACGCTATTAGCCTGGTTAAATGTGTTCTAAGAAGGTTATTTTCTTAAGTTTGAAGGTCCTATCAAGACTAATAGATTTTAGATTTAAGACAGTGATAGTAAATATAAATTCTGATCATTTTAATTCTGTTATTTTAAAGAGTAATGCGCGACAGAAATAAATCTTATAATAGTAAAATGTATAAATTAAATATAATTAAAAATGTTGTAATTGTATAATATGTTAAATGTTTAATCTGTGAATATTTTTGTTCGCATAAGAGATAGATTGTTAGAAGACATTTTTTTTTACATTTTGAGATTTCTACAACATTGTTGCCAGGGAGTAAATTCAATTAAATAAAAGTAAATTTCTTTTTAATTTACGATGAGTTTAATAAATTATTTCGTAACATAATTACATAATCATTGCGGGTCGAGATCAATAATGGTGGTAGTAGTGCTGAGGATGAACTGAAGGCGCGGAGTTGTGTACTACAGCGTTAAATCTGGAAAAAGATAAAAATAATATCACTTATCTGAATCATCGGAGAATACACGACAATATTATTATCAATCTTATATGTTGTCTTAAAAGAAAATACTATCAGTACTTTTTCAGAAGTTGGCTCTACTTCTGAAAATGTTCTGATAGTCTTTTTAGATATCTAGCCTGACTAGATAGTTTGTAAGTTAAGACGCTAGGATAAACAATAAAAGTTGAGTATGATTATGGCCTTTGACATTACTAAAACTTTTTGACTTTCCTTGTAAACTAGTAGTAAACGTTTATAACAAACAATGAAGCTTCTTACCCGGTGTGGTCGTCAGCGGTGTAAACAACTTTGCGCACAGATCCATCAGGTTGTACCAATGAGTAGGAACCGTGTACAGCGTCACCATCGCGGCTCTCGTGCTGCGATTTGTGGTCACCGGTATGAGGGTCAGCCACGGAGTACGCAAAGTCGTATTTGGGATGAGCCTGAACAAACAAATCGCTAAAGTTACATCTGTTGTCTATCACTGCAATCTCTTACATTTTAAAGACCACTTTTAAAATTCCAGTGCGGAAAATCTTGTATTAAATATTTTTTTTTATCTTTGGTTTTTAAAGGCAATGAGACACATTAAAATATGTTTTTTGTACAAGCGTGTTGACATTGCCAACGTGCAATTAATTTTTAAAGTTTGTTGTCACCACAAACAATCATGCGGTTAGCAATAATCGCTTCATAGCATCGCTGGACGTTGCATTACTATCCTAGGAGACTCTTAGGTATATCTAATTTTACTTACATAGTAATCATGACCACCATAGACAGCAGCGGGAGCGTAATGTCCAGAATAAGCTAAAGGTGCGTAATGCCCCTGGTACACAGGAGTTGCGTGGCCGTCGTGTCGCACGATACTCTGAGAAGAGACAGCGTGCCCATATCCGGGGTAAAGGCCGGCGTTGGCCGCAGCCAGCATAGCTCCAAATGCGAAGATCTGAAAGTTAACAGTTTTAAAAAAACTTTTTTATGGAGACTAAAAGCTGCTGAAATGTTAGTTAATGTAAAAAAAGTTTTTTTTTATACGTGCTATAACTTTGTTCATTCTCCGAAACGCAACAAGTTTCATCACATATCACTCTTAATATTTTCTCTCAATGTTCATGTGATAGCATTTTAAACTAAACTATGAAAGATGAACTTTTTAACACTTGGTTTGATATATTTCACTTGCATATTTTAGAAAATCCAGAATTATATCGTAAAGGACGTATATTAAGAAATCATTAAAGCATGTTGTTCTATTAAAATTCAACTTCAATTTCAACTCACTTTGCTGAACATTTTGCTTGCGTGTTGTCAACGTTGTCAGTTGATTGATGTCAATAGAAACTGACCGTGGTTTTTATATGACTTAACACTTGTACGGACAAGTGGGGCTCGCGGTGGTACGGACCTTGGTGGAACAAAGACAGTGAAAAAGACTCGATTAACCCAATTTGGCACTAAAATATGTCATGGTATCGATATCTATTAGCTTTGACCATGCAAGTTACTGCCGTATTGCGTGCTAAACGTAACAAAAAATGATATGATTATTGGTTTTCAAATAACAATTACATGATATCAATTTTTGTGAGTGTCTCGAGTTTATGACTTTCATTGAGTTTTTAAAAGGTTTTAAATTTCACAGGTCCAGTATTCCGTTATGCCTCCGCTATGGAGGAGAATCCCACATAACTACCGCATCCCCCCCGGGGCGCGGAGTATGCATAATGCATTCCCCTCTGAAAAAAAAAGATCCGGTATTCCGTGGATGATTGAAATAGATTGAATTGTCGATATTAAGTAGTTATAAAACAGTTCATATGATATCAGTTGGTTGATAAGTAGTAACTTTTGTGGCCATCGGATCATGTGAGGGTAAATCGCCATACAGCTTATTGAGAAAATCATTTCATATGGATTTAATTGTAATGTTATAGAATTCAGTTCAGATATCTCATTAATTCGTCTTATATAATAGCTTCAGCTTTAGCGGAGGGCACTGGATGCGGGCGACACAGGATCGGGCATTGTGGCAATCGATGGGGGAGGCCTACATCCAGCCGTGGATAAATCTAGGCTGATTGTGATGATGATGATGAATAGCTTTTGCCCGTGACGTCGTTCGTGCATATGCTTAGCTTTCAAAACTTTTATAATATGAAATATAGCGTATGTCCCTCAGTTATAATTTAGCTTTCAAATGGTAAAATTATTAAAACTTTATAATATTAGTGTAGATTGCAGTACTAAACTACTAATTAAAGATTAAGAAATTATAAAATGTAAAAATTAAGAAAAATTTAGCGTTGTTCGTTAAGCAAGTATACACTTTAAGTATACGCTTGTATAGGAGGTGACTTTAGAAAATCTGCAATCCGTAAGTATTGTATTTACTTGTGAAATATGAACATCATAAACCGTGTGTACTTTGGTCATCCAAAGTAACAAATTACCGTTCAGTTGTATAACTTCACGTAACATGGAAAATGCATGACCAAGATTTACATTTATTAGTGTCAACGATTTTTAATATTAATGTGTTTTTTTGTCAAATTGTATAAATTTACATAGCTTAAAGCTGGCGAGAATTAGAATGAATGGTGCTATTTGACATCAGATATTAAAAATTTAGAAGGAAATCATCGGAATTATATTTATAGTAGTATTCTAATTAAATTTTGCTTCTATTGACCGCTGACTAAAACATCTGTAGATGCTATGCTTATTTTTAAGGCACAGTGGAGAAACTACAGAAAACTGGTTTTTCTATCAATCTCCTCCGCTAAACCCGTTTACCCTTCTTATCCCTTTTTAATCAATTGGAAATAAGGACTAGTATCAGCTTAATATATCAGAGTCGTCAGTCGTAACGCGAAATAATCGTAATTGTTGGTTTTTTTGTCATATTCCCTAATTATGGTAAAATCTGAACTTTATGACTGTCCTCTATCTTAATCTTTTCTTTTTATCGAAGTGGGAAAGCAGACTATTATTAGCTTAATACATCGAATTCTTCAGACGTAACGCAAAATAATTACAAATGTATGTATGTCGTACTCCCTAATCAAGGTTCAATCTGATTTTATGTGTTCCACCTGATTTAAACTTTTACTACTCCTGGACCTGGAAAGACCCTCAAATGTGTCCATTTAGTAACATTTTATCTTATATAGTAAAATTTTATCGTTGATTATTTTATTAATTATATTTTCCGCATGTCATAGTTACTTTGTTATTTTCATGAAAGTTATTGTAACTAATTAATGTTATAAACTTTAGCTACCGCAATTTACTCTTTATGGTATCATTTAGTGTTTCAAGTGGTTTACAGTTCCAAAGTATTTACGTTACTAACTAAATTCCGATAATTCTTTTGTTCACCTCTACTGTTTATTCCTCTTTTTACTATATTACTTAGCTTTAAATTATTTTATTACGTATGATTTTATTTTTATTCATTTGTAATAGTAATACTGGTGGTTAATAATTTACAATAATTGGCGTATGATTTTCTGTTTCGTATATTAGATATTTATTTGAGGGCTTTAACATAATTTAAGACGTAAATATTTTTCTTTACCAAGATAGATTTGTTGAGTGTTTTTTTTACCTAGTACCAAGGAGAAGGACAAACATAATAAAATAAAATAGAATGAAGAATTCAAGAGTTTGATTTATTTTTTTAATGATTTCTAAAAATGCAATAAATAAAGTTTAATAAATAAACTGAAAACTTCCAAATAAACACTTTTAGTAGTGATAATACGCAAGGGCAGCGTGCACTAGGGGAGCTGAGTTGTGGACGACGGCGTTGAAACTGAAAAGAAACAATATAAATTATTAAGTATTTTATGATTTTTGTAAAATGAATATTGCAATTATGATTACTAGGTGTTAATTGATGCAGTGAGAAATGACGTGATAAAGAAAAAATGTGACGTAATAAAGGATGTTATGACAAATAATTTTAAATGGCTCCAGCGGTTCGGATATGTAGAAATGGTTACAGACAAAAGTGTGTATAGGGAAGCTTGTCGCAAAATTTTGCAGCAGCTTTGGTATGAGACGACCTAGATATATAGTATTATATATTATCGTTATTATGGATATTTTTAATCGAAGAGCTATTTGATGTTTTAAAAATAGAAGTCAGAGAATTGTATTTTTTTCCGTTTTTTCCATAAATAAGAGGTCTTTTTTCGCATAAGGATTCAAGATAGTACCCGTTATGTGCGTCAGCGCTGTAGTCAACAGTGCGCACGGAGCCATCGGGCTGCACCAGCGAGTACTGGCCGTGCACGGCGTCTCCGTCGCGGCTCTCGTGCTGCGACTTGTTGTCACCAGTGTGGGGATCCGCCACAGAGTATGCGAAGTTGTATTTCGGATATGCCTGAAAATGAATAAGATTTTTTTTAGTCATATTCGATTGTTTTACTTTTGTCATCAGCAACAAATATAACCGACCTCGTGGGGAATGTATATTTAAACTGAGGACAAGACCGAATATATTCTTGATATTTTAAAGGCAACCACATCTCTACAATTTTTTTTATTTAATGTAAAGTTCAAATCTGGCGGAGAATATCAATCGAAATATCAAAGTTTCTGAAACGTACGTATTCATGGTGTCCACCGTAGTGAGCAGGGGCGGCACCATAGTACCCAGCATAAGGCGCAGCGTAGCTCAAGGCGAGATAGCCGGCGTCATGTCTGATGATACTCTGAGAGGAGACAGCATGACCGTAGCCAGGGTAGAGACCGGCGTGGACAGCCGACAAAAGAGCGCCGAGGGCTAGTATCTGAAGAAGGAACAGGAACACATGATGACATTCAATAATAACCCTCGAGTTTGAAGAAATAACAATAAGGTAAACGAAGACGGTAACTGCAGACTATGTCTTACTCATAAGTGCGAATGTTTAGAGGCATCCATCTAAACATTCGCATGGCATGGATGTTTGTTAGAAGGTATCTTCAGAACGACTGAACGATGTCGTCGAAATTTGGCATACATATAGAATATGGTCTAGAAGAAAACATAGGCGACTAATTGTGTTTTTTTAATTCCGCGAGAACGAAGTTACGGGTGAGAGCTAGTATACGAATAATTTTGAGTTAATGTAAAATTTTAAGGAAAAATCTTAAGGTATTTGATCTACTTACGGTAGCGAACATTTTGAGAGCGATTTGTACGACAATCAGTTGTTGATTGATGTCAACGGTCCAACGTTATGGTTTTATAGAACTGCTGTGTGCGGTGGGGCAGAAACAAATGCGTGGGCCTTGACATCTTATGCGTGATTTTAGCTGCACATTCAAGATCATAGAAATATTTAACTTATCATTTTGTTACTGTAAGTGTGTACACATGTCATCTAAAAATAAGAAAACGACATAAATTGATAAATAATATTTAGTTGTATGTTAAAATTACTATTGATTTAAAATATCTTGTTTGTTAATTAAATTGCTAACAGAACAAGTATGTTATAACATAAGTATAGTAGAACTACATTTTACTAATATTATATTGATTTATATCAAAGGAAGGCGAAGGCAAAAGCTATTTTCAATGAATGACAAATAATGTTATGATAGCTATAATCAAGATGTAGCGTCTATAACTGAGCTTTGATGCACATACTTGGAAATCGGTGTAGAAGCGATAGAGATGAATCAGGAGCATGCTAAATGGAAATCCTTTATCTCGGCCTACTCTTCTGGGTGACGTGCGTGAGTGTTTTCTTAACGTAAAGCCAATAGATCTCAAGTACTTGGGATTTAGAGATGCCATGGCATTTTCAATCATTATTTCTTCCATGACAGTGGTCATGGGTATTGAGTTTATAGATCGGCTTGTGTGCTGCGTGCGCTTGCGGTTTGCTAAAGTGTTCACGCACCTAGAACCGGTCAATATCCCTTGTGCTTTTAACCAATCAAGGCTACAAACCTTATCTAAATTGAATGAACTTCAACTTCAATAGTGGTAGAGCCCGCTTTAACATCTTGGCACGAATTGGCCCGGCTCGCCCTGTGAAATACCACGACCACACAAAGGACAGGCGTGAAGTGGAAGCAATTCCGCATTTCGTCTGATGAGTGAGCGTCCCGGAGGCCTAATTTAGTCCTCTTTCCCTTCCCACCCTTTTTCTTATAAGGAAAGGATGGAAAGTGGAAGAGGACTTTCCGGATGAGAGGATGCATGGAAAGGGAAGTTCTTTCACGTTTATTGTACGGAGTTGTTAACCCTTTTGAACTAGATCTTAACTTACTTTGGCGAAAGTAACGTTTGCCGATTTACATCATTTTATCAATGCGTAAGTTCCGTGGCTTAAATTTCACACGACGCTCCAAAGAAGTTTACCTTCAATCTTTATTTTCTAAAAGCTTGTCATAATTAACTAATAGTCAACAAGTTAGTAAATGTGACTTATTAATGTTACATAATAAATCTGATACTCGTAGATAGATTTTGATCTCTGGGATATAAAGAAAAAAAAATAATGTTATTTGAAGCAGAAAATTTTATTCCATAACTTTAAAATTGTTTAAGAGCTTACAGTTTAACTTATTTTAAACTTACAAATTATATTTTACGTAATAAGCCATAAATGAGTCAAAGCAATTTACATATGTATAGTTATATATTTTAAGCCTACAGAAGGATATCTAAAGCAATTACTTCTAATTTAAAATGGGCTCATATTAATGTACATGTTTTGAAATTATTGTTAAATTTATTTAGTAATATAATAAAATATTGAACATTGAAAGTAAAAGGGCAATATAATGTCCACGCTACATTCGATTGTAAGGGCGTAAACGTTGAATAATTTCGTAAAATAAAGTCTTTGATTTATCAATGATCATTGTCTTCGTAGGTCGGTTCTTCGTTGGTGGGCTAATACGTTGAGTACGTGACGTCACACCCCTTGATGGTCTGTGAAGTTAATATTTATCATTAATTTAAGTAATTTTGTGCAGCTGTTGAATGAAACAAAGATAAATGACGTACAAATTTATCATCATCGGCGCTGTGTGAATTAGACACGGCATTATCGATAACTGTGCAACAATCGATTCGAACTAGAAGCGCCGTATTACAATCGACTTTGTACCATTCACGTTGATCCAATTTATAAATTTATATTTACTATATAAAATATATCGGAATATTTCATAAATTAAACTCTCTTTAAATAACAAATTTTACATATATTACATAATTAAATGTTTAATTTACATTTCGTCTGACCACCGATGTAAGATTGATTCAAATTTTAGTATCAGTAATGTTTTTATAAAACATTGTGTGCACGAATATTATGTAGAGTCAGGCGACACGTGAACCTTGACTCTATGACTTTGCAATTCAAGGCACATTGCTCTATTAAAATTATGTCAGAGAGAATTAATTTGATTGAATCATTAAATCATATTGTTGGTACTCGTTAGCCGATTTTTTATTTCAATTAATTAGCTGTTCACGACTTCTTACTTGATAAATCCTGGATGAGTTATGTTGTTTATAGTTTCATTACGAACGTTAAATATGCTTGATGAATTTTTCAAAATTTCTTGTGATATTTTAAGAATTTCTTTTTCAATCAATGATTGTTTTTATCGAAGCAGCTATTAATGGATATGTCGAAAAGACAATTTAGCTATAAAGCTAACAACAAAGAGATCATGTTCTTGAATCTTAAATATTTAGTTCAAGTATCTTTGGGCTTTATAAAAGCTAAGTACAATGCATTCATAATTGGGTATAGACATTAATTGTACTAGATATTGTTCTATGCACTCTTGTACCTTGACTTATAACTTATTCAAATTAATCTGCGTAAAATATTACGCTCGATAAAATATTGTACCTATATCTAGTAAGTATAGAATGCCTATCTTTATTTACACTCGTATGTGTGTTTTAAAGTGACTTATAGAGATCTTAGATAATAAATAATCGCTAGTATATTAAATGGTTGTAACTATTTAGTAGTTCGAATTCTTAAAATTAAAAATAAAATGGTATTTAATTAGACGTTACCATTAATTTGAAAGATAAATATCTTCATCCAATAATACAGATCAAATCAAGGACTTAAATACAAACATAATCATTATTACGAATACTTACTCCTTTTGTAGACTTTCCCAAAGACTTCCAATTTTTATGACCTTTATTATCATATTAATCCCCGTATTTTTGTCATTTGAAATTGAGATAAAATGTCATTAAAATAAATAAACAAAAGTGCAAGCCAATGATAGTATTTTTATTGTGTATTACGCATTATTTTCAAAATATGTAAAAAATATTAAAATATCTTAATTATAACGGCATTTGTTCAGTTATGATGATGTCCTCTATAGTGTGAGGGATGCACGGATGGAGCTGAGTAGTGCACTTTGGCGTGGAATCTGAAAATTAAACAATTTGGTTTTCACTTATCGACTACTTAGTTGTTTGAAAATGTTTAATAAATAAGTTCCTTTTAGCCACCATCTATTACTTTGGATTTTTAACACTGTTATGTTGTTTGAATTACCCAGTGTGGTCGTTGGCGGTGTAGTCAACAGCACGCACGGAGCCATCGGGCTGGTGAAGAGAGTAGGAGCCATGCACGGCATCGCCGTCGCGGATCTCGTGCTGTGACTTATGATCACCGGTGTGATGATCAGCCACGGAATATGAAAAATCATATTTGGGATAAGCCTATAAAGATAAAGTTTTATTTGAATGCAGTAAATGTAGAGTAAGTATAGTAAAATTTCCAGCAACTCAATACTAACTTGTAACGATGAAAGGGCATTCATGTATGCTTAAAATCTTACGAATAAACTCAAATACTTATTCTTGGACCGATTTTAAAAACTTTTTGACTATTAGAATGCTTCGTTATACTGCAAAATCGTTGGTGCTAATTTAAAATTGTTCGGATAATATATTTCAAAATTGTTATAACGTTCGAAGTTGGCCTGTCAGTCTATTAATATAACGAACTCTTACATAATAATCGTGGGTGACATAATATGGAACATGGGCATAATGCCCATGTGCAGGAGGAGCGGTATATCCCTTGTCATAAAGAGCGATCCTCTGTGACGAGACAGCGTGACCGTGACCATGGCCGTACAAACTGGCGTTGACAGCAGTCACAAGGACAATGAAAACTAACTGAAATTAAAAAGAAATCATTAGAATATGAATAACGAGTCAACAGAAAGGGAAGGGAACAAACTGCATTGACGTCATTAAAATTATCTAAGAAAAAAATGCGACTTGTCTTACTTTACTAAACATTTCGTTGACTGTTACAGGAGTTAGAATAGAATAATTTTTATCGTTGAATTCAGTGATTTTATAGGACTTTATAAAGGTTCATTGAAGTGGGGTAAAGAAATCTAACCAAGTCTTGATATAAAATTAATTTTTATCGATATTTACAAGGTTTTCGCAGGCTCTATTGATTCTGTTAATTAAACTCGGATATTGGCTTGTTCAACTAATGAATATGTGTTATAAAAACATAAATTTAATTAACATCTTTCTGCATTATAATGTTAGTGGTGCACGCTATCACTACACTTCAATAAGCAATCCGGTATGCAAATAGGTTTACAACTGAATTAAAAGTTCATCAATATCTTATCGTATCGAACAAATAATTAATCTTTGGTGATTACTAGGTGTTATAGATTATATTTTCTTGTTTTTAGTCAAAGAAGAAGTTGCAAGGAAACCATCCTGATGTTGTCAAAAAGTCTATCGTGGCAATCTTTGCAATTTAAGTTTAGTTGTTTTTAAATGCTGTAAGCTTAATTAATAATTATATTTAGTTTAAATGTTTATTGTACTTTTATAACATTCTAAGAACGTTAAACTTACGATTTAATTTTCTTTTTTTATTTAAACAGGTAAAAGTTAAAGATTCAAGAATTAGACGAAAATTGCATTTAGATATTATTTAATTTTACACTATTTACATTGATATTAACACAGCAGAATAAATTAATCGGGCGTCCCCATTTTTTCTTCATTTAAATCAGTAATGATGGTAACCATGAGCGGGCGCGGGGTGCACGGCGGGGGCGGAGTTGTGTACCACGGCGTTGAAACTGTAAACAAGATACAAGAATGTGAAAAAAATATATTTAAATCATTGTGCTATAAAGTTCACTATTATAGAAAAAATATAGAAATACTTATTTAATTTAATCTATAATTAATCTAGTTTTACTTATTACAATTTGGTCTGAAGTACTTAGGATTGTTATAGTTACCCAGTGTGGTCATTGGCGGTGTAATCAACGGTGCGCACGGAGCCATCAGGCTGGAGCAGAGAGTAGGAACCATGCACGGCGTCTCCGTCGCGGATCTCGTGCTGGGACTTGTGGTCACCGGTGTGAGGGTCAGCCACGGAGTAAGTGTAGTCGTATTTGGGGTGAGCCTGAAATCGAAATAGTAATGTTGTTTAATTTATACTGTAGAGTTCTTTATTAATAATTATGCAGAAAATGATAGATAGGACAGAGACAGTATTTAAACAATTGCAGCTTATAATTTGGTGAGATTATTTGTGCTAGTACGACTATTATTAAATCTATACTTACATAGTAGTCATGTCCGTCGTATGCGGCAGCAGGGGCGGCATAGTGGGCAACTGGCGCGTATTGCACAGCGTGGGCAACGGGCACCGCAGCGTGGGCAATAGGTGCGTAACCGTGTCCGGCGTCATGACGCACTATGCTTTGCGAGGACACTGCTGCTCCATGACCATGTCCTAGAAGACCTGCATTTGCGGCCGCTACCAAAGCGCCGAAAGCTACGATCTGGAAGAACATAATTTTTATAATCAAATTATTTTGTTTTGTTTAAGTTATGGATTACATTTGTTTCAATTTATATTTGTTAATTATTTATTTTTTTAATTTAAAGCAGAATTAAAATTAAATAAAATAATTCTTACTTTGCTGAACATTTTGTGTGTATGGTTTTGCTACCAAAAGTTGATTGGTGTCAACGGTTGCACATAATAGTTTTATACGAGATTCAAGCCGTGGCGCGTGCTCTGTTTATGGTGGGGCGGAGAAATGTATATTGTCACCTTGACTCTCATACTTATATGATCTCAAGGTCGTTTCGCTTTGCACAAGTCGTCAAACATGAGTTATTCAGTTTATTACGAAAAGACATGCAACTTGTATTTCCTGTTTAGTAGTCTACTTATTTTAGTATCAATGTATATAATAAGATTATAAAAGAATTGTTTTATATGTTCTCATTTATGGTATATCTATAATATTGCTATAAAAGCTTAAACTACGGTAAATTTTAAGATGCCTTAATTTCATGAAGTTATCAAGAAAAAAAAATATTTAGGTTAACACAAATGTTTGTCTCTATATTATTATTTTTATGTACTACTTTGGTGTTGCAACGCCAAATAAAGTAAATCAAAGTTATAATATCATCATCATCATCATCAGCTCACTATACGTACCCACCGAGGGGCTCGGGGCCTTTTTTTTTTTTTTTTTTTTGTTTCAGAGGGGAATGCTTTAGGCATACTCCGTGCCTCGGGGAAGGCACGGTAGTTATGTGGGATTCTCTCCCCGAATGGGAGCATACCCACTAAACCCCTCTGTTCCCTCATAGCCATATGTGGGACGCCACGGGATCGTGTTAACTTACCACCGCGACGCCCCACTGACCACCCCGAGAATAGGGCTCCTCAATGCGCCCCCAATGGGGCGCTGCACCCGTAGGCGCTCCTCAGAGACGACACCGTGCAATGCAGGTTCGGGATTCCCCGCCCTCCCCCGCTGATGCCGCCTAGGGTTTATAGAGACCCACCTCTTGGCCCCCGTCTTCATCAAGACAGAGGCCCGCGGTCTCGGTGGTGATGGTCCACCCACCGAGGTTACGCGTTGGGACGCAGGATGCACGCCATCGAGTCCAAATCTGAGAGCAGATAGGTACCGAGGTCGCACTCTCCCACGCCCCACCCAGCGACAACAGCCCAGATGGGCCGCGCCGCCCTGGCGTCGGGCTCGCGCCCTCCACCGCCCGCATCCTAATCTAATTAACCTACACTAACTAACCTAGCTAAACTATCCTAACCTAATCCGACGGCCGCGACCCACGACCCAGAGGTCAAATGGTCACGCCGCCCCGGCATCGGGCTTGCGCCCTCCGCCCTATGGGG